GTCCTGCCCTCCGTGCAGTCCTACTCGTGCCTGCCCTACGGCAACACCGCCTACCACCTCGCAGCCACGCTCAGCTCCATGGCCAACCCCCTCGCCTGCATCGTGGCCATGCTCCTGCCTGGCAGGTGGGTAGAGGGGTTGCGCCCGGGGTGGGGGCTTCTGCCCCAAGAACGGCTTTGCTATGGGGAGAGGGGAGAAGGCGCCGGGTGGGAGAGGGGCCACGGGGTTCCTGTGCCGTGGCAGCAGAGATACCTCGGGAAAGGAGGATGGAGCCAGCACGGAGGCGGTCAGGCTGTGCCGTGGGTCTGTGCCCCTCACCGGGGCCGTGCTGGCAGCGTTCCCCGGCGTCACTCCCATGTCCCTTGCAGGTCCCTGGCCCTGCTGGGCACCCTCACCACGGCGGGGACAGGCTTTGGTGCCTACAACATGGCCATCGCGGTGATGAGTCCCTGCCCGCTCCTCCAGCAGTCCCAGTGGGGCGACGTCACCATCGTAAGTCACAGGGGTCCCTCTCGCCCAGGGAGGTTTAAGGACACCCCCCAGCTCTGCCCTCGCCCCGATGTCCCCCCCATCCCCGCAGTGGGGAACCCCTCCTGTCCCTGCTGACCGCTCTACCCCCCTTCCCTGCGCTGCCAGGTCCTCTCCTGGGTGCTCTTCACCGGGACGCTCTCCTACGTGAAGGTGATGGCCGGGGTGATCCTGCGGAGCCGCAGCCGCAGCGCGCTGGTGTGGTACGGGGCGGCGGAGCAGCTGGGCTCCCTCCTCGGGGCCCTGCTCATGTTCCCCCTCGTCAACGTCTACGGCTTCTTCAAATCCGCCGACTACTGCAGCCTGCAGTGCCCAGCGTGAGCGGGGCGGGCACCCGCGGACAGCCCCCCTTGCCAGCACGCACCCCCAAAAACCGGCGAGGGCCGGGAAGCAGCGCTGGGACCGGGGGGGGGGAGGGAGACGGCGGGGGGCTGCGGGCACATCTCCCCGCCGGGCTCTACTGGGACCCCAGGCAGGTGCAGCCCCGTGGTTTTGTCCCCAGCCTGGGGACGGGGTGTCCCTGTCATGTTCGAAGCAATAGAAGGTGTTTGCTCAGCCCTTGGCTCCCTGCTGCCCATGTCCCCCCACCCCGCCATGCCAGCGAGCAGGGAGGGGCTGCCTCTGACCGTGCCCCCCACCCGGGTATCGCTTGGCTGGGGCCACGTCCTGTCCCTCATCCCTTCCCCTGGGGGGGGGGGGGGGTCTGGTGCCATTTATCATTGCGCCCCAAAACCCCCCAGCTGCCGCCCCGGGACGCTGCAGGGATGGGGGACAAAGAGCTTGGGCAGGGCTGTGCCGTGGGGAGAGGGGCCGGGGGGGTGTCACAAGGTCCCCAATAGCAGCCGGGGAAACTGAGGCATGGGGGGACCTGCCCGGCATTTGCCATCCTCTGCTGTGGCCCCGTCCACGCTTTCTGTTCCCTCCCCGCAGCCCTGTGCCCCGCTGCACCCCCCCTCAGCCCCGCTGCACCCCGAGATGAGCAGCGCTGGGGGTGCAGAGCCGGAGAGGGGCCTCAAAGCAGCCCCCCGCGCCCATGGCACCGGTGCCAGGGCCGTGCCACCCCGTACCCAACCGTGCCCCGGCCCCGCCGGCCAGGGCGAGGCACCGGGACGTGGTGGGCAAGGGGGATGGAGGGGGGGAGTTGGGGGGCAGTGGGTGCCCCCAAGCCGGGCTGGCACCCCCACCCCGCACGCGCCTGCGCCCCTTCCCCGGGGCACGAGGCAGCCGGGCCTTTGTCCCGGGCCCTTTGTCTGGCAATCTGCTCCCAGCGCCAGCCCCGCGCCTTGTCCTCCCTCAAAGCCACGATCGGAGCCACTTTGGGGCTCCGGCTGCGGCCCGGCCGCCTCCGGGAAGGACGCGGTTGGAATAGCTAATGCCTGGCAGCCCCCCCCCCCTTCCCCAACTCCCCCCCCCCCCAAAACCGGTGGCGCTGGCGGGGGTCCCGCGGTAGAGGCAGGAGTGAGGGCAGTGGGCTCTGTTCCCCGCCCCCCCCCCTCCCCAACACCACTGGGCAGCCCCCCAGCAGCTCCAGGCTGACCCCACAGCAGCGTGTGTCCAGGATCAGGCCCCCGGGGGGGTCGCAGGGCAGGAATTGGGGGGGGGGGGGGGCGCGGGGGGGATGACACACGACACTGTGGGGTGGTTTGGCTCATCCCATCTCAGCATCCCACGGTCCTTGCGGGGAGACCGGGAGCTGAAGCGGGGATGCTGAGGGGGGATGCTCCTGCGCTTGGGACCCCCCCCAAATACCCTCACCCCCGCAGCCCCCCCTCCCTCTCGCCAGGGAAACAATCGCCTCCAACGGGAATTATTTCCATACAGCTGCTCAGGAAGGCACAAACCCGGCCGCAGCCGAGGAAAAAGGCTGAGCCTTTCTTTTGGCTCTCCCCCTCCCTCCCCAGCGCGGCGGGGGCAGGTTTGGGCGGGGGGGGGGGGGGAGTTTGGAAAGCGGGGGGGGGCCCAGCCGCTGCAGTCAGCAATATTAGCACAGCTCGGCAGGACTGATTGCAGGTTATTAACATATATTATCTCAGTCCCCTGCCTCTGAAAGGAGCCGGGTTCCTACCCCCCCCCCTCCCAGCCCTCCCTCCCCCTGTCTTTTACACTTAATTACCTCCCTTATTACACCACAGCCTGGAGAGAGACAAAAATCCCCGGGCAGGCCCGGCCCAACTAGGGCGTAAGTAATCGCCCGTTCCGCAAACCTGCCTTCGAGGGGGGAACGGCACACGCGCCGAGAAATATATCAGGGAGCCGAGGCCGGGAGCCCGGCAAGGGCGGGGGGGGACGTGGCAGAAAACGGTTCCCGTCGTCCGTCCCCCCCCCCTCCCATGGGGCTGTGGCCCTGTGGGAGAGGTGACCTTGAACTTGGCAGAGCCCCCGATATCAGGGCGGCACTGCGGGGCCAGATGGGATCCGTGTCGCTGCTGGCGAGCCCTGGCTGAGGGGGGGTGCGGGGGGGGGGGGGGGGGGGAAAGACCCCAACCCGTGTTGGGGTGCAGCCCCAGGAGCCCCAGGCCTGGTGAGGTGGGGGCTGGAGGGTGCCCTGGGGTCTAGGGGGCTGGGGGATGTGGGGTGCTGTGCGATGCGGGGTGGCTTTAAGGGCTCCGGGATGCTGTGGGATGTGGGATCCTGTGGGATCCTGTGGGATGTGGGGTGCTTTAGGCTCTGGGATCCTGTGGGATGAGGGATGATGTGGGAACCTGTGGGATGTGGGGTGTTTTAAGGCTCTGGGTTCCTGTGGGATCCCGTGGGATGTGGGGTGCTTTGAGGCTCCGGGATCCTGTGGGATGTGGGATCCCGTGGGATAGAGGATGCTGTGAGCTATGGGGTTTCTCAAGGCTGTAGGGTGCTGTGGGATGCTGTAGCATTCTGTGGGGTGCTGCAGGGTGCTGTGGGGTACTGTGGGATGCTGTGGGGTGCTGTGGGATGCTGTAGCATTCTGTGGGGTGCTGCAGGGTGCTGTGGGGTGCTGTGGGGTACTATGGGGTGCTGTGGGGTGCTGTGGGATGCTGTAGCATTCTGTGGGGTGCTGCAGGGTGCTGTGGGGTGCTGTGGGGTACTGTGGGGTGCTGTGGGATGCTGTAGCATTCTGTGGGGTGCTGTAGGGTTCTGTGGGGTGCTGTGGGGTGCTGTGGGGTGCCCTGGGCCATGGGGGGGCACACAGAGCAGTGAGCGGGGGCACACTGCCCCGATGCGATGCAGGGGTGGCCCCAGCCCTGGCTCCAGCCGTGACTGGGGGAGCAGAGACGGCTGCGAGCGAGCAGGCGGGGGGTGCTGGCCACGGGGGGTGGGGATGCTTTTGCCCCCCAGGCCTGATGCCACACCAAAGGGGCTGGTGCCTCCCGAGGCCGGGGGTGCCCAGGGCTGCCCTGCGCCGGCCGTGCCAGCGCTCTGCCTGCGGTGACAGACGAGGGACTGTCCTTAATTAAGCGCTGCAACGCTCTCAGCATAGCGCAAGGGCTCGGGGAGAGCAGGGCCCGCTGCCAGCCAGGTCCCCGTGTCACCCGCCAGCCCCTGGCCAGCTCGGCCCCAGTGAGACCCAGCCCGGGGCTCCCAACCGCCTGCGGGACCGGGGCCTCATCCTGCTCCGGGGAGGGCGGCAGCGGAGCGCGGGGAGGCGGGGGAGCGGGGGCTCTGGCAGGGAACAATGCACCGCCACGAGCCCGGCTATTGTTGTGGGCTGCGAAGGTCACGGCGCTTCCCCGGGGACAGGGATGGGGATGGGGACGAGGGAAAGGGAGACAAGGTGGGAAAAGGGAGAGGGAAGGGGAATGGGGAGGGGGGAAAGGGGCAGCGGGCAGGGGTGGGGACAGGACAGAGGTGGGACAGGGATGAAGGCACGGAGGAGGGAACAGGGCTGGGGACAGAGAACAAGGGACAGGGGAAGGGATGAGGGAAAGGGAAAGGGGTCAGTGGAAATGGATGGGGGACAGAGATGAGGACAGGGAGGATGGACAGGAATGGGGACAGGGGAGCGAGGACAGGGACAGGAGCAAGGGGCAAGAAACAGGGACAGGGATGGAGACAAGGGACAGGGATGGGGACAGACACAGGGACAGGGATGGGGACCCCCGCCCCACAGCCCCGTCCTTCGCAGGCCCTGGGGGCTGGCGGCAGGGAGACAAAGGCGGTGGGAGGCAGCGGTGTGTCCCACCCCTCCACACACACACACCCCCCCCCCGTCCCCGCGTGTCCCCATTGTCCGTGACCGCGGGGGGGGAAAGAACCCGGGGGGAGGGACCGGGGACCCCACAGTGCCGTGATGCCTGGGGTGCCCCACGCTGCCGGCTTGGGGGGGGGCTCTGGGCGCGGCCGGGCGGAGCGGCCCCCTCCCCCTTCCCCCCCCCCCCGCCTTCCCCGCCGCCTGCCTTCCTCCCCTCCTCCTCCTCCTCCTCCTCCTCCTCCTCCTCCTCCTCCTCCTCCTCCTCCTCCTCCCCTCCTCCTCCTCCTCCTCCTCCTCGCCGCCCTGCCTGCCTGCCTGCCTCCCCGCCCCTCGCACTCGGCTCCCCGCTCCTCGCCGCCCGCACACCGGGGCCGGAGCGCCGGTCGCAGCGCGGGGCCGGGGCGGGGCGGGGGGGGGGGGGCCGGTGCCGGGGCCGGTGCCGGTGCCGGTGCCGGTACCGGAGCTGTCCAGTGCTGAGGCCGCCGGCCCGGCCCCGCCATGCCCCGCTCCTTCCTGGTGAAGAAGCTGAAGGCGGAGGCTTTCCCGGCTGCCGGGGCCCCCCCGCCCCCCTACGCCCCCCTGGAACCCCCCTACGCGCTGCCCGGCCCCGCCGCCGGCGATGGTGAGTGCGGGCCGCCCCCCCCCCCCCCAACACACACCCCGCTATTGTGTGTGCGCCCGGGGGGGCACCGAGGGAAGGGGGGGGGGACACACGGGGGGGACGTGGGGCAGGACTGGGGAGGGGGGGGTCCCCAGCGTTGTGTCCCGCAGCCTGGTGGTGTCGTGCGGGGGGGTGGGTTGTGGGGGGGGGGTCGTCCCTCCTGGCCTTGTCCCCCTTTCCGGGGCCAGCGGCTGCTGCTGAAGTTGGTCCTTGGGGGAAACATCCCCTGCGTGACAGCGGCAGCCCCCGTGGGCAGCCCACGCTGTCCCGGCCGGCCCCCGTGCCCGGGGTGCAGCAAGGCCGGTTCCTTCCCAGGACAACTTGTCTTTTTTTTTTTTTTTTTTTTTTTTTGGGGGGGGGGGGATGTCACGAAGCAGGCGGGCTGCAGGGGCGGGCGGGGGGAGTGGGAGCCTCGCCGTGCCTGCGGGTTTCATTGTTCGCAGCGGTGCCCCCAGGCCCACCCCCCCCCCCCCCGGAGCACAGCGGGGGGGCCGTCTCCTCCTCGGGACACTGGCAGCAGGCAGAGGAGATGCTGGGGAGCATTCCCTCCTCCCCCTCCCTCCCCCCCCCCCCCCCCGCCCCGCAATGCTGGGAACGCTGCGCAGAGCTGGGCTGGGGGGTGGCCGGGGTCCCTGGAGCCCCGTCCTGCCAGGGGACACTGGGGTGGACTCGGGGAGTCACCCGGGCTCGGCAGAGACCCCCGACGGGGCGGCCCAGGGACCTGCCCTGGAAAAGGGGGTCGGGGGTGGGGGGGGTGGGGGAATGGGCTGGTGGGTCCTGGCTGCTCGGGGACTGGGAGGCCGAGCTGGGTGCGGGAACGGGCCTGATCCAGCCACGCACCAGCCAACATTGCCCGACCGCTGCGTTGCTTGTCCGTGTGTCCGTCCCCCACCCCCTTTTCTACTGCTCTTTGCTCCCCAGCTTTTGGTGGGCTTTCTCTGCTGGGGGCAGGGGTGTGAGGCCCGTCTGGCCATGGCGGGGGGGGGGGGGGGGGTCCTCTGCTCCCCCCTCTCCCCATCAGGAGCCAAGAGCGGGTGGGGGAGGGATGTGCTGCAGCTGGGCAGAAGCTGCCGACGCTGCTCTCCTGGAAATAACCTTGCTGCATGCTCCGAGGCAGCGTGAGAAATTGCTGAGCAGAGCGCTTTCTGCACAGCCCGCTCGACCGCGCTGTCAGCACAGCACGGGGGGGGGGGGGGGGGGCGCTGAGCTCTGTCCCCACCACGCAGCCCCCTCCCCACCGCAGGCACCCCCCAGCCCACATAGGACAAACGGCAGCAGCCACCCGCCCTGGGCAGGGGGTCCCATGGGCAAGGGAAGGGGGGGACCTGGATTTAGGGGATGCTCGGCCGCAGCTGGGGTGGGGTGTCCACGGGTGAACCTGGCCGTGCACCGACCCTGGACACCCACCAGCAGGGCCGTGTCCCCTGAAGCAGCTGGCAAGGGCCAGTGGGCACGAGGCAGGAGACCACCGGGACCAGTTTGGGGGGACACGGGGTGGGACCGTGTCCCACAGGGTGGCTGGCCCGGCAGGGTGGGCTGCGCTGCTCCTCCCGCGGTGACCTTCATGTGCCAGCACGGAGGGACGGGGATGCCCACGCAGCCCCCACCCTGCCACGGGTCACAGGAGCCCCCTACCCAGGGCCGGGCCATGAGCAGACCTGCACCAATGTCACACGGGGGTGACACTGCTGGAGTGGCACCCGAGCTCTTCTCTGCACCTGGGGGGCTGTGGGTCCCTCTCCTCAGCCGGATCCCAGGGGCCCGGTGCCGCTGACCTCCAGGTGCTGCCCCATCCCCGGGGAAAAGCCCCTGTGGGAGACGGGGAGGGGAGGCAGGGGGGCATTTCCCAGCCCCTTCACTGGGGAAGGGAAACCCAGGGCAGCCTCTTCCCCCTCGCCCCGGCTGCCCCCCGGTTTCGAGAGGCGAGGAGGTGGTTGGAGCAGAGCTCATTACCGGCGCCTGCCCCGGTGAACAATGAAGCTCCCAGCACCGACAGCTGCCTGGCGGCTAATGGCCCCCGGGGGCTGCCTGCAGCCGGGGCAGCGCAGCTGGACGTCCCGCAGCCCCGTCCCCGGTTCCCACCCAGGGCATCCCCATGGGATTGGACCCATCCTGCCGGCAGATGCGGTCAGGAGCCGGGGCACGCTCGGCCCCAGTGCAGATGAGGCAGCTCCGGTGCTCGGGGGCGGCCCCACAAGACAGGCACCCGTGCAGGGGGGCCAGCCCTGGTTCTGCACCCTCGATGGGCTTTTTTGGCTTGTGGCTTCGCCCCGTCCCCAGCGGGGCTGGCCCGGAGGGACGGTGACCCCGCTGTGTCGTCCCCGCAGGGTACCTCCAGCACTGCCTGGCACCCGCCGGCTACGACACCGACAAGAAGCAAGGTCTGCCGCCGCCGCCGCCGGACCCAGCCTATGCGCCCGGCCATGAGGAGTACAGCGACCCCGAGAGCCCCCAGTCCAGCTTTTCCGCCCGCTACTTCAACGGGGAGGCGGCAGTGACGGACAGCTACTCCATGGACGCCTTCTTCATCACGGACGGGCGGTCGCGCCGGCGCAGCGAGAGCCAGCGTCGTGGCAGCCACCGTCACTCCTGCCCCGAGTGTGGCAAGACCTACGCCACCTCCTCCAACCTCAGCCGGCACAAGCAGACCCACCGCAGCCTGGACAGCAAGATGGCGAGGAAATGCCCGACGTGCGGCAAGGCTTACGTCTCCATGCCCGCCCTGGCCATGCACGTCCTCACCCACAACCTCAAGCACAAGTGCGACGTGTGCGGCAAAGCCTTCAGCCGGCCGTGGCTGCTGCAGGGCCACATGCGCTCGCACACCGGGGAGAAGCCCTTCGGCTGCTCCCACTGCGGCAAAGCCTTCGCCGACCGCTCCAACCTGCGCGCCCACATGCAGACCCACTCCGCCTTCAAGCACTACAAGTGCAAGCAGTGCGAGAAGACCTTCGCCCTCAAGTCGTACCTCAACAAGCACTACGAGTCCGCCTGCTTCAAGGGCTCCGAACACAGCTGTGCAATAGGGAACTAGCCCCCCCACTTCCACCCCCCAGCCCCCTGTGGTGCATCCCCATCCCATCCCCATCCTCATCCCCATCCCCATCTCAGTCCCGGTCCCCGCTCCGGCACTCCTGCAGCTGCAGCCGGCCGGTTTTGTGGCTGTGCCGTGGCTGGAGGACACATCCCCGCAGACTCACTCCCCACCCGGGAGGAGGGTGCCCCAGCACTCCCTGGGAAGGGCTGGATCCGGCCGGGCCCGCAGCGGGACCCGGCTCCTCGCCCGTGGGTCCCCGAGCCCCCCCGCAGCCAGGCAGGTCTCTCTGCGGGGGTCTCGCCTGGGGACCTCTTCCAAACCCAGGACTTTCCTCCCCCAGCTCGTGACTTTCACCTCTATTTATTTATTTATTACTATTATTTATTTAGAGCTGCTGCTTCTCCTCCTGGGGGATCCCAGGGGAGAAAAGACACTTTTCTGCTCCCCCCAGGAGCAAAACCTCACCTTGACCCTAACACTGATGGGACCACGGGCTGGTGCTACTGGCGGCTCAGCGGGACTACCGGATGGTGCGGCTGACGGGAGGGAAGGGGTGTCAGTCCCCGGCGGAGGTTGGGGTCCCTGCAGCTGGCCCCCCGGGCTCTGGGGCACCCTGATGCCCCCCTGCCCGGCACGGTCCCATGGGACACAGCCCCGTGGCACAGTGCTCACCCTGGCACTGTGGCTCTGCAGCCCCGGAGTCAGGGGACGAGCGAGGGGCTCCCAGCAGAGACCCACAGGACACGGCCCCTGCCAGCTCCCGGCTTGACCAGGCACGACTGGCCCCCGCCACGGTGATGGGCTGGGGGACAGCCCCCCCCCGGGCAGGTGCAGCCCCCCTCGCCGTGCGAACGGCCAGGCTGGAAGCTGGGCTGGAGACCCAGCCCTGGGGCAGCACCCAAACCCCCAGCTGCCCCCCCCACACCCCCAGCCTCTGCCCAGCCCCCTCCCCGGCTGGCTCCCAGCCCCCTCGCCATCACCCCCCGCCTGCGCTCAGGAGGAGGGGGGTCAGTGTAGCCGTAAAGTTTGGGTGAGTTTATTTAAATGTTCCTATTTATATTATTTATAACTTATGCTTTTCACTATTTATTTGCCAAGACTGGCAGGGCCGTGCCAGCGCTGGCTTGCAGGAGGTGGCAGAGCTGCAGCAGGAGCCGCCGTGCCCAGGACACAGCCGCGGTGACACGGACGGGGGACAGGACCCCGAGAGCGGGCACAGAGGCAGGAGGGCACGAGCTGGCCCAGCAGCCCGGGCTCCGTGCCCCCCGCAAGCCTCCCTCAAAGGCAAAGCCCTTCTTCTTCGTCTTCCTCGCTGCCGCAGGCTCCTGCTCTGCTCCCTGCCCCGCGCCAGCCCGGCGGGGACAAACCAGCCATTCTATGCAACCTCCCGGCGGAGCATCCCCGCGCCGGCCCCGGAGCGAGCGCCGCGCGTGCAGCATCCCGGAGCGGGGCCCGACCCGCGCCTCCGCTTCCTACCTCGGGCCGCGAGCTGCCACGGCCCCATCACCCCGTGCCGGTCCCCGACACCTCGGGGGTTCAGCCCGGCACCCCACGGGGCCGCCCTCGCGTACCCCCCACACCGTCTTCCTGTACCGTCTTCCTCCCTGCCACCGTCGTCTTCCTCCCACCGCCTCGGCGCCCGCGTTGCGGCGGCTCGCGGGCTCGACGCCTCCCGGGGACGTCCCCGTCACGGTCCTCGCTGCCGGGGCACGGTGGCACCCGCACCCCACGCAGGGGAAGAGCATCGCCCCGGCCACGCAGGCACCCCACCGGCGAGTACGCAGCAGTCCAGGCTTCCCCGGCGACGCCGGCGCCTTGCCGCGGCAGCACCGCGTCCCTCGGCCGGGCAGGCACAGAACGCCGCGCCTCTGCCCCTGTCTATACTGTAAATAGCAGATACTACAGCAATAATTTTCCGTGCATGATAGATTTTTTTCTGCCAGGTTTTGTACTCGCCAGCCCCCAGTAAGACAAGTCTACTGAGAACCGGCCGCCCGCAGTATTACTTGTAACGCAATTCAGGGATATAAAAGGGATTTCTGCCACTAACCGTGTGTCTCGGGGGATTTTTACAGGCGGTGACACGCGAGCGGCCCGGCTCGTGGTGCCCTGTGCCCGCACCCAAGGGCAGGAGCACCCCGGAGAAAACGTCTGCCCCAAACCAAGGGGTGGAGATGCCGCGGCAGCCGGCCGGGAGCGGGGCGGCCGATGCACCCGCCCTTGTTTTGCCTCACCAGCCCCGGCAGCAGCCAGACAACCCCCTGCCGCGGCGAGCGGCGGGTCGGTAATGCCACCCTGCCCGCGAAAGCGCCGGGGAGGCTGCGAGCAACGGCGGAGCGTTGACCTGGAAGTAAAGCGCCGTGTGAAATCCCGGCAACGGGGCAGAGAGCCCGGCGGGCAGCCCCGGGGGGGGGGGTGGTGGTGGGGGGGAGGTTCACGCACCCCCCAGCCTCACCCCCGGGGCTCGGTCGTGCCGGATGGGAAGAATTCAGTGAGTGGATTTGATTTTGTTCGCATCCACTCCCTCCTGCGCAGGCAGAGATCGGGGGCGGTGGGAACAACCCGGCAGAGCCCCCCGCTCTGCCCCCCACCCCTCTCGCTCCCTGCCTTCCCCACAGATGGGTGCCAAAGCGGGAGGGCAAATTATTTTTTGGCCTCCAGCTCATCAGCAAAGCCCTCGCTGAGCCCCGTGCTCCCGGTGACATCGGTGCTGCCCCGCAGGCAATAATTCACCGGTAAAGCCATCACCGGATTCCTCCTGCAAAAAGCTCATCCCGGAGCCTCACAAACTCGTCCCCAACCGTCATCGTCACCAGCCCCATCACGAGGCAGCCAGCGTGCCCTGTCACGCCAGCGTGTTTCCAAGGCCAGTGTTGGGGCTGGGGACCCTCTGTGCCCCCCGGGAACTGGGGTGAGGGGCCCGGGAGCAGCCGTCTGCCGGCATCACGGCCCCGCTGCGGAGCCAGCCCACCCCGGCTGCGGCAGCCGGTGGGGCGGGAGACCCAGTTCTCTCTTTCTGGAGAAATGACCTAGAAAAATTCGGGGCTGGAGTGCTGCGGTATCTGCTCGGCTGCAGAGCATCCGCGCTTCGCTGCTCAGCTCCGGGGCTGTTTCACGCTGCCTCTCCCTCTCCGAGGACCCCCGGGGTGTCAGCGCAGAAAGGAGGGGGCTCTGTGGTGGGGACGCGGTCCTGGCATGGCCAGGCAGGCAGGGACACATCCCAATTCCCAGCTGAGAAGCCACAGGCAGGTCCATAATGTCCCAGCATGGCCAGGAGGGAGCAAAGACCCTGGGGCAGCCCCAGGTTGGGGGTGGGGGGCAGGATAGGGACCCCCACACGCACTGAGCAGCCCCAGGGGGGTCTCAGGCGCTGCGTGCCGAGGGGTGTCCCCCTCGGACGGGGAGCACAGGGCAGCCCCCGGCCCACAGCCTCACCGGGACGGAGAGGAGCGGGCAGCAGGCCAGCCGGCGCTGGCACCAGTCCCGGCAGCCTGTCCTGCCCCTTCACTGTGACTCTGCAAAACAGCGGGGCGGTGGCGGTGACGATGGCGATGGCCGGGCCGGGAGGAAGCAGAGGGGCCCGGCTGGGTGCTGCGCTGCTCGGGGCGGAGCGGCGAGCTCGGCCGGGCGGGCAGGAGGAAGGACAAGGCCGGGTCCCAGCAATAGCAGGAGCAGCAGGAGCAGGAGCAGGAGCAGGAGCAGCAGGAGCAGCAGCAGCAGCAGGAGCCATGGCCGAGGCCGGGGACCGGAGCATCCACACGCAGCACATCGCGGCCGTGCACAACGTGCCCATGCGCGTCCTCATCCGGCCCATCCCCGCGGAGCTGGAGCCGGGCAAGGTGCAGAGCCTGGTGCAGACCCTGCAGGTGGGTGCGGGGACCCCGAGGTGTTAGGGGGACAGCCACCCACCCCACCCCACCCTACCTTCCCCAGCACCCACCCGTGCCAACCCCAGGGAAACTCGCAGCCCCGAGGCCCCGGCACGGGCGATGGAGGGGTGCTGGGGGGGGTGCGTTGCTCTCATGATGGTAGGGGGGGGTGTCTCTCCCTTGGCAGGAGGATCCCGAGCGGGTCCCCCCCATCGACGTGCTCTGGATCAAGGGCACCCAGGGCGGGGATTATTTCTACTCCTTCGGGGGCTGCCACCGCTTCGCCGCCCACAGGGCGCTCAACCGGGACACCATCCCCGCCAAGATCATCCCGTCCACCCTCAGCGACCTCCGCACCTACCTGGGCTCCTCCACGCCCCCCCTGCGCTAGCCCTGCACCCCCGGAGCCCCCCGACCCCCGCCCTGGCGCCCCTCGGCCCCCTTGGCGCCCGTGGGTTGAGCCGAGCCTGATGCGGGGGTGCCGTCAGCCTCCGGTGGGAATGGGGTCGGGGGTCCCCCGGCCCCGGGCGGGGGGGGGGGGTCTCTCCCGGGGTCCCTGCGGGTCTGGGCTCTCCCCGCGCCGCCCCCGCCGCCGCGGTGGGCTCGGGGGCACCGGGAGGCACGGCGGGACCGGCAGGTGGCGCTATTGTGCCGCGCTGAGCCGCCCCGAGCGGCCGCGGGAACCGGGGTGGGATGGGGTGGGATGGGGTGGGATGGGGATGAAATGGGATGGGATGGGATGTGATGGGGATGGGATGGGATGGGGATGAGATGGGATGGGATGGATGGGATGGGATGGGATGGGATGGACTGGGATGGACTGGGATGGGATGGGATGGGATGGGATGGGATGGACTGGGATGGGATGGGATGGGATGGGATGGGATGGGATGGGATGGGATGGACTGGGATGGGATGGGATGGGATGGGATGGGGATGGGATGGGATGGGATGGGATGGGATGGGATGGGATGGGATGGACTCGAATGGGATGAGATGGGATGGGATGGGATGGGATGGACTGGGATGGGATGGGATGAGATGTGATGGGGATGGGATGGGATGGGGATGAGATGGGTTGGGATGGGATGGGATGGGATGGGATGGGGATGAAATGGGATGGGATGGGATGGATGGGATGGGGTGGGATGGGATGGGATGGGATGGGATGGGATGGGATGGGATGGGATGGACTGGGATGGGATGGGGATGAGATGGGATGGGATGGGACGAGATGAACCGGGACAGGCTGAACTGGGACAGGTTGAACTGGGATGGAACAGGCTGAACCAGGATGGCATGGACTGAAGTGGGATGGGATGAACCGGGATGGGATGAGCTGAACCAGGATGGGATGAACTGGGATAGGATGAACCAGGATGGGATGAACCGGGACAGGATGAGATGGGCTGAACGGGGACAGGGCTCAACCAGGAATGGCTGAACTGGGATGGGACAGAATAAACCGGGACAGGGCTCAAATGGGAACGGCTGAACCGGGACCGGCTGAACCGGGACACGCTGGAACTGGGCCAGGTCATGGCCGAACCAGGAAGGGATTGCAGGCAAACCGGGACACAACTGAATTGAGACAAAGCCATACCAGGAGGAGGCACAGCCAAACCAGGCACGGCCAGTCTCCAGGCCTCCCCCAGCGACTCCAGGCTCCCAGACTGGGAGGACACTGGGCTGTGCTGGCCCCGAAACCACCTGCCCCATCCTCGGACACATCCCACAGGCCCCTTCTCTGTGGGGATGCCTCTGGAATGGGGCGGGGGGGGGGGACACACACCCTCTGCTGCACCTGGAATAAAGGTGATGAATGAAACCCCTGCGGCTCTGGGGCCTGGTGCTGGGGGTGGGAGTGGATCTGCAGCACGGCGTGGCACGGTATGGCACAGCACAGCACGGCGTGGAGGCTTGGCATCTGCGAGAGCGGTGGCTGCAGGCACGTGGGACAGGGACGGCTGCTGTGCCAGGGGATGGATGCTCCATGAGGGGACAGATGCCGTGTTGGGGGACGGATGCTCCGTGAGGGGACAGATGCCATATTCAGTTTGGATGCTGAGCTGGCACGGACGCTCTGCCAGACCACGCTGGCGTGCAGCTGAATTCAGGGTCAGCTCCGTCCCGCTGTGCTGGGATGGTGTCACCCCTGCAAGCGCTACGTCTTCACCCCCTGTGCAGGCTGGAACAAAAAAAAAAAAACACCCCAAGCATCCCCCCAGGCATCTCGGCATCCCTCTGAGCCAGGAGCCTCGGTCCAGGGAGGGGAAAGGCCACTGACTCACCCCACCACGCTGTGAGTCAGCAGCAGGACTGGGACAGGAACCGCGGCCGGACACTTCTGCCCTCGCTCTGCCCCCTCAGCCACGCTCCTCCCCGGATGGATCCTGTCCTCCCGGAGCAGAAACGGGACTGGGGAGAGGGTCTGGGAGGAGGGCACGGCCCCCCCCGGGGGCAGCAGCTCTGCGGGGCAGCGTGCACGGAGGGAGCTGGCAGTGCTGCCCACCGGACGGGGCACGCTTTGTGAAAAAAACCCTGGCTGCCAGGGTTTCCGCAGGAGCTGCTGGGGAGGAAGGGCAGGGTGGGCTGGGGGGTGCTGTGCCACAGCCTCCCTCCGGCCCCTTCCCTCGCCTCCGGAGGCTCCGGCGCGGCAGAGCTGCATGTGCCGCATCAAAGCGGCTCTCCGCCGGGAGGAAGCCCTGCAAGCGTTCACGGAGAGAGCAGCCCTGGCCCGCGGCTCCCTGATGGGCCATAAATTTCGCCGAAGAATTGTGGCGTGCTAAAAAGTTTCCTCTTGTTAGAGAGCTGGGGGGGGGGGGGGTGGCGGGGAGGATGGGGGGGGAAAGGGAGGAGGTGGCAGCTCCTGCAGCAGCGTGGGACATCGCCAGGGTACCCTCAAATGGGTGCTGCCATGGTGGGGACTGGTTTTTGCCCAGGCCCTGGGCTGTGCCCCCAGTGCTGGGCACCTCTCGCGGGCTCTGCTCACCCCCCTCACCCCGGTGGGCCTTAAAAAGGGAGCTGGGACCCCACGAGTGGGGATGAACCGAGGCTACCTGGATCCTGCAACCCCCCCTCTCCCTGTATCCCGCCCAGGGGCTTCTTCCAGTGAGGAGACCCGCTGCAGGATCCGCTCTTCCAACTTCCCATCCCCTGCAAGCAGAGATAGGACATCCCTGCCAGCCCGGCGGGTGCCCTGGGACACCCCCCATCCCCCCACCCAGGGCTTGGTGGCACCCACTGGGAGCCAGGACCGGCCCCTGTGTCCAAGGGGCCCTGTGGGAATCTCTGGGGCTGACCGGCACATCCCTGGGTCTGGCACGGTGTGGGCGGCGTGAGCTGGTCCCCAGTTGGTGCTGCTGGTGCCACAACCCCCCCGGCTGGCACAGGAGTGGGTCTAACCAGAGCTGGCAATCTCTCCATCGGCTTCATCCGTCCGTCTGTCCGTCCGTCCCTCCACCTGTCCCCCTTCCCTCTGCCTGACCCACAGGGTCTCCGGTGTCGCCGGCTGACAGCCGATCCCGGCTGCCTCCAATCCATTCGTTCCAGGGCAGGAACAAAGGCGCTTTGTGGGCTCCCCCCCCAGCCCGGGCTGGGGGGCGAGGCGTTGGGGGGGGGGTGGTGGTCCCAGCTCCGGAACTGGGACAGACTTCCCCGTGCGACAGGCGTGTAATGCCTTCCAGACCAGCGGCACCGGCCCACAGGTACAGCCCGGCAGCGGGTGGAGGGGGCCTGGGGCTCCCCAAACTGCCCCAGGGACCCACCGGGACACCCTGCCGCGGCCCCGACCCCGGGGGGGGTCAGGCAGGAAGCTCTTACGGGGAAATGCTCCTGCTCCCCAAAAGGTTTCACAACACCCGCTCCCCTTGAGCACGTCCCGCTGTTCCTCCCCACACAGTGGGGTCTCCAGGGGCTCCCAGTTTGCCAACCCCAGTCTCCGTGCCAGTGTCCCAGTGGGAAGCAGATGAGCTGGCCGGGACAGAGCTCCCCGAAGTCACCTACAGCCTCATTGGCCTGAACTGCCCCGAAATTGGGGAGCCACTGGCAGAGGGGCCAGTTCCTGACATCCCCCTGTGCTGGGGGGCTGCTGGGGGGGCTGCGGGCGAGTGGGGACAGGCAGCACCCTTGGGGGTTTTGGTGGGGTGGGATGGGACAGGATGGATGGGATGGGGTGGATGGTATGGGATGGGGCGGGATGGGATGGGGCAGGATGGGATGGGATGGGATGGGATGGGGCAGGATGGGATGGGATGGGATGAGATGGATGGGATGCGATGGGGCAGGATGGGATGGGATGGGATGGGATGGGATGGGATGGGGCAGGATGGGATGGGATGGGATGGGATGGTGTGGGATGGGATGGATGGGATGGGATGGGGCAGGATGGGATGGGATGGGATGGGATGGGATGGGGTGGGATGGGATGGGATGGGATGGATGGATGGGATGGGATGGGGCAGGATGGGATGGGATGGGATGGGATGGTGTGGGATGGGATGGATGGGATGGGGCAGGATGGGATGGGATGGGATGGGATGGTGTGGGATGGGATGGATGGGATGGGGCAGGATGGGATGGGATGGGATGAGATGGTGTGGGATGGATGAGATGGATGGGATGGGATGGATGGGATGGGGCAGGATGGGATGGTGTGGGATGGGATGGATGGGATGGGGCAGGATGGGATGGATGGGATGGGGCAGGATGGGATGGGATGGCGTGGGATGGAAGGGATGGATGGGGCAGGATGGGGCAGTCCAGCGCTGCCTCACCGGGGCTCAGCAGGGTCAGAGCCGTTATCCTGGCAGCCACATGTGCCGGCGTTGCCGCGGGTCTGGAATCCATTTGCCTCGCCGGCAGCGGTGTTTTCCCAGCAGGGCCAGAGCAGCCCCAGGGGGCTGGGGGCAACCCTGGCCCCTGGCCCATCTGCTCCCTGTTTATTTTCTTACACTTAAGTATCACCTCGCAGATAAACACTCCCCGGAGCGGGGGTCAGGAGGCAGCTCCCCACCAGCAGAGGTAGGACCCAGCCCTCGAGGTGCCCAGCACCCTGACCCCAGGGACGCCCAGCACCCTGATGCGAAGTGCTCGGTGTCGGGGGGGGGGGGGGGGTTCGGGGCATGGGGACACACGTCCTGTCCCACGCGCCTGCCGGGCAGCACAGGAAAACCTGGCTGCTGCCTCGCAGCATCCGCAGGCAGCCGGCAGCGTTCGCTGCTTCCCGTGGCTCCCGTGTCAGGCTCCCAGCCCGGGAAAGCTGGCTCCGTCTGTCCCCCCCCTACACACACAACCCCCCCACCCCACACTGACCCATCTCCCAAGCCTGCTGCTCCTTCCCCGCCTGTGCCCCCCCCCCCCTTTCCGTGTCCCACCCTCCACCACAGCCCCACGGGCCACCAGCACCCCACACATGGCCGTGCCCCCCCCTCCTGCCCCAAAACACGCCAGGGCAGCTCGGCTGGGCCCTGAACCAGGGGTGTGTGCCCCCCCCCCCCCGCCCATCCCCGTCAGCTGGTGGCCATGTGTGGGGCGGCCGCAGCTGAACACACAGCTCCTGCCATCCGTCTTGCTGCCTGTCAGGGCTGGGGGGGGCTGCTGTGACCCCCCCAGCCCCAGCCCAGCGGGGTGCCGGGGTGAGAGCAGGGGCTCCCCTCTCCATCCAGGCACCTGCCTGCTCCCTGCCTGCCGCCCCCAGGGTTTGCCTACCCCCAGCTCTGCCCCGGGCCCCTCCGCAGGGGTAGAAACAGCCCCCCTCCCCGGGGTGCACCCAGGTGGGGGGGTTTTTGCAGGGCCAGGAGAGGGTTGGGGTGGCAGCGAGGGGTGGCAGGGGGTGGAGGTGGCGAGGGACACGTCCCCGTGGCAGGGAGGACACCCGGTGCCCCCAGCCCCAGCGGGACCCCCTGGCGTGGCCCATTCCCCACCGCCCCGTGATTTACGGGCTCTGCGCAGGCGGCAAATGGTGAAGGAAAACAGGGCAAGGTGTGTGGGGGGGTGTCCCGCTGGCGGGGGGCTGCCTGCACCCCGTGGGGGGGCGGGGGGGGGGGGGGAGAGGGGCCGTTTGCTCATGGCTGGTGGGACGGGTGGGCAGCAAACCGGAGCCGGTGCTGGCGTCAGGCAGCGCAGCCCCCCCACCCCGCCACGGCCCCAGCATCGACAAGCCTTGGCATACACTGGGAGAGCCCCCGGGGGGGTGGGGAGGGGGGGGGACAATGGGACCCCCTCCCCCCCCCCCCAGCCCAGGAGCCGCACCAGGAGCGTCAGTCCCGCAGCCGTGGGGCTTGGGCTTGTGTGGCGTAGTGGGGCATGATGCCACCCCATCCCGTGACCCCCCCCCCTCCTCCCAGGCTCTACCCCCGTTGACCACCTCGCTCTGGGGTTTGCGTCGTGCCCACTGCGCCCCATGGCCACCATGCCAGCCCCCGGCGAGCCCCGGCGCTGCTTCTTTTTGCCTCATTAACGGGAGATTTCCCCCAGCATCCTCGCTCCAGGGCTGCTAGCCAGATGAGGACTGCAGCTAGCCCAGGCCAGCACTGTGGCTGCTGCCAGGCCCCCGGACCCTGTCCCCAGAAGCCCTGGGGCCATCAGCGGAGAGTCGGGTCCTGCCCTCCCTTTGCCTTTGCTGCTTGACCCGCCGTGCCCGGAGCATCGCCGAGCTGCTGAGCTCTGCACAGGAGCTGGTCTGGGAGGAAGGGCAGGCAGGAAACCTCCTGCCTGCTTGGCTCAGCTGGCCGTCCCCCCCCCGCTCCCTGCTCTCGGGGGGTGCCGGGCTTGGAGCTGGAGGGGTGAAGGCAGAGGGAGGCCCGTCCAACCTCCTCGGTGAGGAGGAGCAAGGGGTGGCCATCGTCTGTGGCATTGGGTGCCCAGGAAGGACCAAGAGCTGAGCGCAGGCTGAGGGGGGCACCTGCAGCCCCCCCTGGAACACCGGCAGCTCCCGCTGCTGCCAGCTCATCTCTCCCCTCGCAGGAAAAGATTCCGTGTTTCCACTGCCGGCGCACACCTTCCTCCCGGGTGGGAGGAAACGCTCCTGGCTGCCCTGAGCGTGTCCCCCCCCAATCCCCTCCCGCGGGGGGGCAGGAGGGGTGCCAGGCCCTGGGGACAGAGGGGCGAGGGGTGCAGAGCATCCCCCCGGGGCTGCCTGCCCTCCCCAGGCATCCTCCCGAGCACAGACCCTGTCCCAGTGGGGCACGGCGGGGTGTCAGCAGCAGCCTGTCCCCCCACTGGCATTCCCCCCCCGTCCGATAAACACCCCGGGGATCACACCAGTGACACCAGTCCCCCGGTACCTGTCCCATCCCAGCTCCCGCACCCCGCGCAGGACCCAAGGCTGGCTGGGGACAACAACTGGGGACAACTGGGGACACGCTGCCTGCCCACGGGCACCGTGCGGGCGCTGGAGCTGTGGCACACAGGGAGCAGCAGCTCGCTGCGTGGTGACCCCGGCCCTGGCTGCGGCACCGCCGGGATCCGATACCACCAACGGGCACGACCTGGAGCCCGGCCCCGGGTGCAAGGTGCCTGAGGCCAGGCCAGCGTGCCGGAGCAGGGCCAGGCCGGTGGCCGGAGCCAGCGCTGGCTCCCGCGGGCTGGGGCGAGGATGCTGGCCGCTGGCCGGCAGCTCGGGGGGCCGGCTGGGGGTGGGCTCCGGCGCCAGCCCCTCCCCGGCTGTATAAATCCCGATTCCCCCCCGCAGACACTCATCCCAGCCCCGCTCGGCCGCTGGAGCGGAGCAGCAGCGGGAAAGCATCCGGAGCCGGCCCGTCGCAGCCGTGCCGGTGGGGGAAGGCTCCCCGCAACCCGGGGGGTCCCCCCGCAGCGGGGCTGGGGGCGCGGGCGGGCACCCCGCCATGGCCTTCACCATGCTGCGCCCCGTGGCCGCCCGCGTGCTGTACCCCGACCTCAGCATCCTCTCGGAGGACGAGGAGAACCGGAGCGAGAGCGACACGTCGGACCAGTCGTTCGGGTGCTGCGAGGGCGCCGAGGCTCGCCGCAAGCTGCCGCGGAAACCGGGGCCGATGGTGATGGTGAAGCAGAGGCAGGCGGCCAACGCGCGGGAGAGGGACCGGACCCAAAGCGTCAACACGGCCTTCACCGCCCTGCGGACCCTCATCCCCACCGAGCCGGTGGATCGGAAGCTGTCCAAGATCGAGACCCTCCGCCTGGCCTCCAGCTACATCTCCCACCTGGCCAACGTGCTGCTGCTGGGCGAGGGCTGCGAGGACGGGCAGCCCTGCTTCAGTGCCATCTACGGTGCCAAGGGCGACCTGGACAGCAAGCAGCCCCGCAGCATCTGCACCTTCTGCCTCAGCAACCAGCGGAAAGGGGTGAGCGGGGCGCTGGGACGGGGGTCCCCGGGAGGAGGGAGGCTCAGTGGGTCCCCCCCGCGGGATGGGGGACAGCCCTGGGCTGAGCGGGGCAGGCGGCTCGGCACGGCTCTGGGAGAAGCTCAGGCTCTGGCTCCAGCCCCCGCCGGAGGTTTTGGCTGCTCCCGGCCAAATCCTGCTCGTAGCCGCACGCCCACAGCTCCCGCTCGCGTCAGAGGGCCGGGCTGCTCCCCCACGTCCATCCGGGCTGGGAGGTCTCCGGGGGGTTAAACAGTCACCCCAGTGCCGGGGGGAGGGGGCGTGGGGGGGGGGGCACTTGGCTGCCCCAGGGGTGGAATTCAGAGCTCGTCCCTGTCCCCAATCCTGTCCCCCCCCCGGGGGTCTGCCCCAGGCAGCGCCCTGCCATGATGGAGACAGCCAAGGCACAGCAGACACCCCATATGTGGGGGGCCAGGCAGGGCTCCCCATCCTCTGGCCCCGCTCAGGGTCTGCTGGTGGTCCTGGCACAACTCCCAACTTGGGGGGGGGGGGGGGGCGCTGAGCTGGGCACCCCTGCTCTGCCCTGCCTGCCTGACACCCACCCCCCTCCCCAGCACCCTACAGCTCAGGGGGGGCACCTTTCCCGTGATAAGCCCATCCCGCTGCCCACGCCAGGGTCCTGGGTGCCCCTGCCCCGGGATGGGCCGTGCAGGATGCAGGCTGAGGGGCTGGCAGCTTCCCCGCCCCATGGGCACCCCGTGGGCAGGGGCTGCCGGACCCCCCACCATCCCCACGAGACAACCCCCCCCCCTCCCGCCCAGGCCATCCCATATGCGACCCCGAGCAGTGTGGCCATGGGGGACACTCCAGCCCTCAGGGCTCTTTTGGTTTCTGCTGCTCCATTTTTAATTGCTCCCCCTGTCCCCGTCCCATGTGTGTGTCCCCCATTGCCAGCCGGACTCTGCAGCCTCCCCAGCACCCGCCCCGGGGGACCCCCAGCCCCGGTCCTTGCCAGAGCCACCCCCAGTTGGGACCCTCCAGCCCCGGCTGTGTCCTTGGGCTGGGGGGCTGGCATGGCCTTGGACCCCCCGGGGGACCCCCACAGAGGCACCAGGGCTGGGAGCACCCTGGGGGGAATGGCAGGAGCTGGGCTGGGACCCACCTGCTGGCCCTGGGGCTGGGCTGGAAGGGGGCTGTACTGGGCTGTACTGGGCTGTACTGGGCTGGAAATAGGCTGGGCCGGGCTGGAAATGGGCTGGGCTGTGCTAGGTTGGAAATGGGTTGGGCTGGGCTGGAACTGGGCTGGGCTAGAACTGGGCTCTGCTGAGCCATGCTGGGCTGTTCTGGGCCAGACCTGGGCCGTGCTGGTCTGTGTTGGGTTATACTGGGTGGTACTGGGTTGAAGTTGGGCTGGGAGGTGAGGCTGAGCCTCCTCATCCCCAGTGGGGCTGGGGGTCTGTCCTGGGTCCGGGGGTCTGTCCAGGGCTGGGGGTCTGTCCAGGGCTGGGGGTCTGTCCTGGGTCCGGGGGTCTGTCCAAGCCTGGGGGTCTGTCCTGGGTCCGTGGGTCTGTCCAGGGCTGGGGGTCTGTCCTGGTTCCGTGGGTCTGTCCAGGGCTGGGGGTCTGTCCAGGGCCGTGGGTCTGTCCCGGGGCCATGCCAGCCCTGTCCGTGGGTCTGAGCATGGTGGCACTGAGCAGCCATGGGGGCAGAGTCCCCGTACAGTGATGGGGCCACGGGTGACACCCCACAGCAGCCACCCCCACAGCCGCCTACCCAGCCGCTCGCCAGGCACAGCCCCATCCGTCTGTCTGTCCATCCCGACCAGCACCGAGACGCCCCAGGACCGCGGCACCGGGGTGAATCCTCCGCGCAGAGCCAGCACGGGGTGGCGGTGGGCAGAAGCGGGGCTCCCCCCCGAGCGGGACATCACACCCCCCCCACCGCCAGGTGCCTATAGCTCTCCCCTTCTCTATCCGCAGGGCGGCCGGAGGGACCTTGGGGGCAACTGCCTGAAGGTGCGGGGGGTGACCCCGCTGCGAGTTTCGCGGAGATGAGCCGGGGTCCGGCAGCACCCGCCTGAGACAGCGGCAGAGCCGGCCGGAGCCCGCGCATGCCAGCCCCAGAGACCGGAGCGGGGAGGGAGGGAGATGCCCGCGGCCGAACCCGGGGGGGGGACACGGGCTGGGACCGCACCGACACCGGCCCCGGAGCCGGCAGCGGGGCGGGAGGATGCTCCCACGGCCGAGGCTGCCCGGCGCGGGGCAGGGCCGGGGAGGGGGGTCCCCGCGCCCCGGGGCTGGACTGGAAAGGGGCCCGTGTGCGGCCGGCGTCGAGGCGCTCCGGGGACGTCGCAGCCCCGCGGGCGCTGGTTGCGCACGTGCAGCCGCTTGGAAAATAAACTTTATTTTTCTGATGGGCCGGCGCTTGCCTGTGGCGGACGGTGGGGTCCCACGGGTGTACCCGGTGGGATCCATGTGGGGTGAGACCCCCGGGCACACGCTGTCCCCGCGTCCCCCAGGCCCTGCCGATGGCTTTGGCCCCGTAAGGGCTGCGGGAGCCCCCACCGTGATGGGTCCGGGGTTGTCGTCGCTGGTTTTGCTCCTTCCCTTCCGCCCGGTACATCACAACTGCCACCGTCGCCGTGATCGTCCCACCAGCGCTGTGCACGGTGGAGCTGCAGGCAGCATCACCTGCGTGGGGTCAAGTGGGGACACGGGGGGTTCCCAGGCTGGACACCCCCCCCCCCCCCTTCCTGGGAGCCTGCTCAGGCCGGGCTGGGCGCCGGGGAGCACCAAGCCTGGGAAAGGTGCCACGCCGGGGCCGGCGGCTCCCAGGGACCAGCACGTCCCACGGAGCAGAAGCAGCTGCAGATGGGGCAACTGGGGTGGCCCCCCCCCCCCCCCAAGAGAGCTGCAGGGCTGGACCCATCCCAGTCTCGCCAGGGTGCTGGAACCAGCAAGGAACAGGGAGAACACCCCGGGGGGGTGTCCCTTAGGAGTGTCCCCCCAGCCTGCCCTGGGGAGGGGGCGAAGGAGGGACCCACCAGCACCTTTCGGCCCCCCCGCTCAGCCAAGACGAGCCTGCCTCAGGCTCCCTCCCCCCCCCCCCCCCCAGGGTTTGATTTATTTTGCTGACAGCGTGGCGCAGCTGTGAGAGCTGGTCCCAGGCAGGGACCGGGGTGGGTGGGAGAGGTTTGTTCTCAGCGTGGCTAATGTGTCCCAGACCCCAATAAACAGCCGTGAGATTCTCCAAACAGCCCAGGACACAGAATCCCTGCCCCCGGGTTTATCGGGGGGCAAGGAGGAGGGGGGGGTGGGGTGGAAAACAGGGGGGCTGCGCTCTGCAAACAGCCCAACCCACACATGAAAGGGGACCGAGCCCTTGAAGCTCGAAAGGGAACCGAGCCCCCCGGGGGGGGCAGCGAGGGCTGGTGGTCCCAGCGCTGGGGGAGCAGCAGGTCCCAGCACTGAGGGCACTGAGCACTGACGGGCCACAACACTGGCGTGGGTCCCAGTGCGTCCCAGGGCTGAGCACCAGCGTCCCAGTGGGTCGCAGTGCCAGCGACTAGAGCCCCAGCAAACTCCAATAAAAAAGGCCACGGGTCCCAGCGAGTCCCAGCGCAAGAGCTGCGCACCCAGTCTGTCCCGGTGCCAGGGATTAGGGTCCCAGCAACTCCAAAGTAAAGGCCATGGATTCCAGTATGTCCCAGTGCTGAGGCTGTGGAATCCAGCATATTCCAGTGTTGGGGCCATGGGTCCCAGCATGTCCCAGCACCAGGGACTGGGGCCCCAGCCAACACAACAGTCATGGGTCCCAGTATTTCTCAGCACAGGAGCTCCGCACCCAGTAAGTCCCGGTGCTGGGGCTGCGGATTCCAGCATGTCCCAGTGCTGAGGTTGCTGATCCCAGCGTGTCCCAGCACTGGGACCACGGGTCCCCGCACGTCTCCAGAGCCAAGCCCACGGGTCCCGGCACATCCCGGTGCCAAGCCCTGCGGGTCCCGGTTACATTCCAGCCCCTCCCAGCACCGCGAGAGGAAAACGGTGACTCAGAGGCTCCGGAGGCTGCGGGGCTGGGGGGGGAGCCGGGTGGCCCTCGCCCCACGCAGGGCGAGCATCGTGGCCACCGTGGCTAATGGCCCACGGATGCCGCCGGCCGCCGCGGCCCCGCGCCGAGCCCAGCTGCGCCGCCTCTCCCGCGCTCCCCTCCCATCCTCTCCCCTTCCTGCGCTCGGACACCCTTGGAAAGGCTCTTGGCCGCTTTCTCTGAGACAGGAAGGTGTCCCCGAGTCTCAGGAAGGAAAAACACTCAGTGCTGAACCCACAAAGACTGTCTCCGAGGGGCCGGGGCTGGAGAGGCTCCAGGCCTGACATCACCTGGGAACTGGAACCAGAACCGCAGCTGCACTCCGCGCCTGGTATTTTTTTCTTTAACTTGTGTTTTTAAACTTTCTTTTTATAGATTTTTTTTTTTTTTTTTTCCCCTTTCCCTGCTCCATTCCCCTCCCAAATATTTCAGCCTCTCTGCAGTTTAACCTTGCTGGGCCAGCGAGGCTGGAATGCAGCAGGGCTGCACCCGGCAGTGCCGAGATGGTGGGACGGCTGAGGCTGGGTCCGGCTGGGCAGGGATCACTCCCTGGTGATGGGGGGCCCTGGACCCCACAGCCCCCACAGCATCAGGGCCGGTGGAAAGGGACTCGTGGCCTCCGGGGGACCCGGGAGGGTCCAACTGGGCACGGGGGCGTGGGAGGATGGAGCTGCCCCGGCGGAGCCTGCGGTTGGTGGGCAGCAGGGCTCCCCTGAGGCACGGCCCCCGGACGGGGCTGCGGGGTCAAGCTGTGGCTGAGCCTGAGCCTGGGTCTGAGCCTGAGCCTGAGCCTGGGTCTGAGCCTGTGACTGAGCCTGAGCCGAAATCTGAGCCCTAGTCTGTGCCTGAGTCTGTGTCTGAGCCCGAGCCTGAGCCTGAGCCCAAATCTGAGCCCAAGCCTGAGCGTGAGTCTGTGTCTGAGCCCAGGTCTGAGCCCGAGCCTGAGCCTGAGCCCAAGATTGAGCCAGAGTCTGTGTCTGAGCCTGTGACTGAGCCTGAGCCGAAATCTGAGCCCTAGTCTGTGCCTGAGTCTGTGTCTGAGCCCGAGCCTGCGCCTGAGCCCAAATCTGAGCCCAAGCCTGAGCGTGAGTCTGTGTCTGAGCCCAGGTCTGAGCCCGAGCCTGAGCCTGAGCCCGAGATTGAGCCTGAGTCTGTGTCTGAGCCTGTGTTTGAGCCTGAGCCCAAGTCTGTGCCCAAGCCCGAATCCAAGTCTGTGCCTGAGCCTGTGTTTAAACCCAAGCCTGAGCCTGAGCCCAAGTCTGTGCCTCAGCCTGTGTCTGAGCCTGAGCCCAAGTCCAAGCTTGAGCCTGTGTTTGAGCCTGAGCCTGAGCCCGAGTTTGTGCTTGAGCCTGAGTTTGAGCCTGAACCTGTGCCAGCCAAGCGCGCGCAGCCAGCCGGGGATGTGAGACACAGGGGCAAGTTTCAGCCCTGGGACCCAGCCCTCCCCAACACCTTTGGGTGCCACCTGGCCCCTCGTGGGCTCCTCCCGGGGCAGAGGTGTGGGACAAAGACCCCAACGTGTCCTGCACCGGCACCGCGGCAAAGCTCCGCCGCTGGCTGCCCGGGGAATCCTCCCTCTTGCAGCGACCGCAGGAATCGGCCGAGCGTCGCGGGTCGGACCTGGGGACAAAGAGCTGTGAAGAGACTTCCAGGGTCTAGATGGCAGCGGGGGGGGACAAGGGACAGGGGGACAGGGGACACGGGGACAGCGCTCTGGTACCCAGAGCAGGGCAGGGGGAAGGACTGGGGAGGGATGAGCTGCCAGGGGTGGCAACGGGATGGACACACCATGAACCATGGTGGGATGGACACACTGGGATGGGATGGGGTGGGATGGGGTGGGATGGGATGGGATGGATGGGATGGGATGGGATGGGATGGGATGGGATGGGATGGGGATGGGATGGGATGGGATGGGATGGAATGGGATGGGATGGGGATGGGATGGGGTGGGATGGGATGGGATGGGGTGGGATGGGATGGGATGGGATGGATGGGATGGGATGGGATGGGATGGAATGGGATGGGATGGGATGGGATGGGATGGAATGGGATGGGATGGAATGGGATGGGATGAGATGGGATGGGGTGGGATGGGATGGGATGGGATGGATGGGATGGGATGGGATGGGATGGGATGGGATGAAATGGGGTGGGATGGAATGGGGTGGGATGGGATCAGCAGACTGGGGGTCAGTGATGGTCACACTGGGATGGGATGGGATGGGATGCGATGGGATGGGACAGGCAGACCATGGGTCAGTGAAATGGCCCCCACGCTGGGGTGCCACACAGTCCCTGCCTCCCCATACCGGCAGACACAGACCGCAGTGACCCCGCCAGCACGCTGCCGGGGTCCCTGGGGAAGGAACGGGGCAAAAGGTCTGCTTCAGACCCCCAGGACAGCCCCCAGCTCCTCGCCAGCACCCTCAAGGGACACGCAGCCAGAGCGCCCCGATGTCCCACACGTCCCAGGGGCGCAGGGCTGCCAAGCCCCCCAACACCTTGCCACCATCCCGCCGTGTCCCCCCCGTGCGCTGGACCCCTCAGAGCTGCCCACCCTGCCGGGACCCCACTCCGGCCGCGGTCCCGGGGGACGTGGGCCCTACCGGCAGGGACAGGGTGTGAAGCTGCAGCGTGGGGTGAACGCCAGGTTAATCTCCCGCTGGAGCTTCCCTCTGCAAACAATAAGACAATGCCCGGCCGGGGGCTGCCTGCGTAACTAGCGGCACGGAGGGGAAGTTGTAATATTTGGATTTAGCACTCAGTAAATTAAGGAAGAAAAAGGAAAAAGCGCTGGGGGTAATCAGAGAGGGGCTGGCCCTGTGCCCTGCCCCATGGCCGGTGGCCCCGGGGGGCTCAGCTTGGCCTGGGGTTGGCTGCTGAGCAGGGCCAAGGTCCCCGAGAGCCAGTGTCCCCGGGCACGGCTGGGAGAGGGAGATGTCCCCAGGGGCTGGGCAGGGATCAGGCATGTCCCCACAGCCTGGAGGGTCGAGGCTTGGGCGCTCAGCAGGGCTGCGGGCAGCGCTCACGGCAAACACGGCATCTCCTGCGCCTCCAGAAAAGGGATCTGGGCCAGGAGTTTATTTTAATCCAGACCTGCTCACACTGATGGGAAATAAAGTCCTGTTTCTGCAGCTGGGGTGGCCGAGCAGGGGAAGGCCCCCGGGGGGGATGGTGACCTCTAGCTGAGAGCGGTCAGGGTGGCAGGGGGTGACAAGTGAGGGGGCTCTCCCCGGGGTGTATCCCCCTGTGTGGGGCCACGCCAGGGCTGCATGGTGAGAGGGGACCCTCTGTGAGGGTACAGGGGGCTGTGGGCACCACAGG